GAGAGAGAGAGAACGGAAGAAATGTACGGAGGGGTAGGGAGGGGGGGGGGGCGAAGAGTGAGATCCGAGAGACGAAGGACCGAAGGGGTGGAGCCGTGCATCGAGGGGGATGGAGCAGAGAGGGCGTCGGGACCCGGGCCAAGCCGGGGCCCGGTTCCGAGAGCCCCGGACGAAAAATCTGTAATTATAATAATTATAGCCGCGCGGACAACAATTATAAATCATCATTGAACTAGGCAGCGAAACGCCAATAAAATATATATCGTACCGGGGGCAGACATTAACATCGGCGTCGCGTTGCACACGCGGGGCCCCGCCGGACGCGTCCGTCGTGCTCCGCGCGACGATTGAAAAATGCACTCGGCTTTATTCCCGTGCAATTTCCATCGGCATTCGGCGGCGCGTATCCGCGCCGCACGCGGATGACAATCCAGCGGGACAAAAAAGGGTCGAGCGAGTGGCCGCGCGAGATAGGCAGACGGATGTGGGAGAAGGAAGGCGGAGGAGATTCCTTTTCTCCCTTCATTTCGCGTTCTTGCCTCGCGTATCCCTCGCCCTCTTCCCCGCGGGAATCCACAGTCCCACAAATCGGTACTATGAATGACGGGCGCTATTGCGAAATCCGCTCGTCATGGATGAATATTTCCGTCCGACAATCGCGACGCGATAAACGCACGCAGCGGCGAGAAAAACGCTTTTATCGCCTTTCGTCAAAGCGTAGAGAAACACATCGACCGTGTATCGAGGCGATTTAACGGTCGGCGAATTAGCCTCTAACGCGTTATCGAAGTGTTACATCTACGCGGGAAGAGCCAAGAAGAATCTAACGTCGCTTACTAGTCGTCTTACTAGTCAGCCCCTTCGTTACAACGCACACCTAAACGAGCGGGAGCCGCGACGGTGTAATATTACTTTTGACGATTACGAACGTAATACGATCACTCGTAACGTCGCCGCGTCGACGCAGCCGGTACACGCGTAATCGCCTTTGCAAAACGACGCGACATCTCAAATTTCAGAGATGCGCCCGCGCGCGCGCCGTCTATTACCCTTTATCCTTTTCCGGAGGATCCTTTATCCCGTCCGAGGACGTTTCTCTTTCCTCTTGTCGTCGCGCCGCAATACAAATGCGTGGTCGCTCGCTCGGCGGGACGTAACGACGCGGCGCCGGCTCGTGAAGCATCCATCGGTCGGGTGTCGGGACCAACTTGTTCGCGTTCTAACACCACTCCGGGAGAAAGGACGCCCCCGGCAGATGCGGCAGGCTCGCAACTAGGCGAACGCGTCAGCGGGGGATTCCTCCCCGTGATTGCCGCGTGGTCGATACGCTGGACGCAACGAGGCGCGGGAGAACCACCGGGATGGGACGCTACATTCCTTTCTTTTCCTCTCCTCTCCTCTCCGCTCCTCGCGGGTCATATACCTGAGCGACTCACGTTGCCGCTATGCGTGCCCGTACGTACGCAACGCTTCTTTCCTCATTCAGGTCGCCGCTCGTGGCTTCTACTCGTTATTCCGCCTCTCTTTTCTCGCGATGAAAAAGACGCGCGGGCCGCGTATGTTAATGAAGCGTGGATCGCGCGGATTTATTCCACCTCCGAATCGCCGTTCCGTTTCTTTTCGCGTGGACTAAGAAAACAAAATGATGATCGATAACGGGCCGATTGTGCCCGAATATATTCACAATGCTAATTGAAATACGTCGAAGAAAATCTCTCGTTTGTTCCGTCTCTTTCTCTCTTTCTCTGTGCGAGTACCAATTACAGCTTTCCCGACTTTAACGTACGTGCCTGACGGCCCGCGGCTGCGGTTACGAGCGTTCGTGCTCTTTCGCCTGCCTGACTGCATCAAGGAACCTTTAATGTGAATCTTAGCGACTTTACGCGAAACGACGTGGCTTATGCAAGGGTTAAACGCAAAGTATCCACCGGGTGTGTAACGTCACTCTCTCGCATCGACGCGACATTTAAGATATTAATTTATAGAGGCTCGTCGTCGCGCAACACGGTCGGCAAGCATCTCGCGCAATCGATTCCGATGACGGGTCAATTAGAAGCCGCGGCATAAAGACCGATGACGGATTTTCTCCGATCGAGTCGGTCGGTAGGGATTAGCGTGATTTCTCAAGTGTACGTCAATTAAACCTCGATCTCGCGCTCGCGAACGCGCGCGACTTCTGACTTTTCTATAATCAACTCGCGCCGCGAGAAAGCGGTGGTTTAACAAATTAAGATAGCGAAATACCTCAGTCTCACGCCTAAATCAACTCTCTTTCTCTCTCTCTCTC